TATATGCCGTCAAATACGGCACATTTAATGTTTGTTTGTTTGAAGTTAAGCACAAAGCTACACAATAGGCTATATGTGCTCTACCCACCACGGGTATCGAAACATCAAAACCCGGTTTCTAGCGTGGTAAGTCTGCAGACACACCGCTGTGCCACTGGTGGGCTTACATTTGAAAGATAATTGGAGTTGATTGCTATCATGGAAGTTATCACTCTGAAATTATGAGCTTTGTAGTGAGCTGCAATAGTTATAGTTTTCTTTATCTATTTGTGATATCTTTCGGTGGTCAGAGGTAAATTTAAGGACATACAAAGTTAAAATCCGAGGTTCGATTGCTCGTGGCAAACAGAGTCAGATAACTCATTGTATAACTTTGTGCTAAAACATATCTATGATGTACTGCTAGGATGTAATTTTGTTCTTCATCTCCGGTTTCTGGTGAGGAAGTTTTCGTTTTTTTCATTTGATGATGATTTATTTATTTTTTTCTTAATTTTGTATTTATGTAAATATATATAAGTATATATATATTATATAAACAGAATAATTTGACTGGTTTTCTTGTGTGATCAAAAAGTTTAACAAATCAAAATATTCCCGTTATGCAAAAAACAAGAGGGAATCCTGAATACCCGTGGAACTTAAAATTCTTTAAGGCAGGATTACAGTAAATTATTCTATAAGATTTTTTTTTATTTTATTAGCCATATTTTTCTGCGCCAGAAATACCAAGCGTGGTGTGCGCGTATACCCGATTCGATTTTATTACTCATCAGTATCTGTACCACTTTACCCTCAAATTGAAATTCTCTTAGGCAGCATTAGCGTAAATTAATCTATGAGACATTGGCCGTGATCAACTACATCAATTGAAAGGGTTTGATCTCTTGAGTCCAAAACTGTAATTAGATCTTAAATTGGTCCAGAAATGGCGGAGCTATGAGCTAAAAGTTTTGTACTTGGAGAAAAAATAACAAAAACTCAGAGACTTACTATGAGCTGCTCAGCCTCAACTATTAAAGTTCGGAGGGCATAATGAAAACACATCACAACTCATCATGTCGACCTCGATCTTGGTTGGTAGAAAGAATGACACATGGTTCGCTCTTATTAAAACAAGTGCAAATTTATGGGTTTCAGTATATTCCATTCAAATTAAATTTAAATGATGAACACAAATCCAATATCCTTTCTAGTCTAGATGTAGTCTCATTACACCCCTCTATTACAATAGAAGAAGGTGTTCAAGATGTGATAGGCTTCATTAAATTAACAAAATTCAAATACCTACGACTTCGTTAACTTATCTATTGATTTATTAGAGTCGACCCTTAGAATTATATTAAGTAAGAGATATAAGTTTAGAAAGGTGAAACATTGATGCCATGACCAAGATCTTTCATTAGGAATGAAAGGTTGCATATTGTTACGTCTCCGTTTGTTAATTAACTTTCTGTAACTTCGTTCCGACGAAATTTTAGCGACACAAGTCCCTACTTAATAAAACTGGTTTATTCTTTCTGAATATAACTTTACCGATACACTTATTTTCAACAGTCGCTCTTTTACAAACGTTTTAACAACGAACGTTAACTTCAACAATACTTCCTGACTGCAGTTCAATTACTCACTACCTACACACATATTGTTATCCCGTCACGTTGTCACCCTCTTTTATATACCAGACTACCCTATATCTAGTAAATGCTAGAGCATTCGCCAAGGTACCGGATAGTTCTAGAAACGTGGCGTGACACTAGTCATGTGACCTCGCTGACGCAACAATATATTTAGTTATATACACAAACTTATGATATAATGCTTGGAGACGGCTTGAATGGGTAATGAAGAAAAACTTTCATATAAGTTTAACATAACAGCAAATAACTTATATTAAAGTTTTTCTTCATTACCTATCTAAGCCGTCTCCAAACATTATTAGTCTCAAAGTGGGTTCCTCGTCATCGAATTTAAACTTATGATATGTAAGAACACAATTTTCCCTACAAATAACGAATTAGGCTTAAAATACTGAGATTTGTATGCATGGGTTGGACAAAATAATGAAAACACCTCATCTCACTCAACGTTCTGGTGTCTCTAAGAGGGGTAAATGTATCCCTATGGTAATTTAATTGCGGACCAACTAATTTTATATCATATTATTGTTTTTTAAAAGAAGGGTTATGTTACGACAGCGGAATTCACATGATGCTGGTAACACATAATGAGTATCTAGAACGTTCGTGAAGGCTCGAGTGTTTGCCAGACGCCCTCTATTTCATATATATAAGACCGGCGAGAAGTGACGGCACAGATAATTGAATAGCAGACAGGGAGATAGAGACAGATAATCGAGTCAAGCCGTAAGTAAAGTGTGTAAATCGTTGTGAATTATAGCGTGTGTTTAAGTTAAACTGACTGTGGAAATTAAGTGTATTGCAAAGTTGTATTGAGAAAGAATAAACTAGTTTTATTTAAGAAAGGACTTGTGTCGCTAAAGTTTCATCCGAAAGAAATTATGCGGGAAATTAACAAACGACCAGAGACGTAACAGTTATAACAATGTCAAACCAAAAAGTCCGTTAGTAGGTGAAAGTCTAGAAGGATTCTCAGTGACACGAACACCTAAAACAATGGGCATATCCTGAGAAACAGTGTCAAAAGTGATGTACTCGTGGATATCAAAAAGTAAAATCACCATCAGTTAAACATGACAGTGGTATAAAAAGTAAGTTGGCAGATTGTGATAGACGAGCATTAACATGATAGTGAGACGAAAACCAGACTATATCGTCAAACATTTGTGCAACACTTAAGGATAGCTTACAACAACTAGTTTCTGCCAATAAAAAAAACAACTCAAAATTCAAACAAAATGATGTTAATAACATAAAAATTGGGCCAAAAATCAATGAAAAGATGTGGTTGGATCACATGAATAATAATTTACGCTTTTCCCATCAAATGCACATGCTTATGTGTTGTAAAAACAACACAATAACAACAAAAAAAACTCACAGCCTTGAATGTTTTGTGTTATGAATTAAGCACCATGGGGTATCTATGATAGTGTGGGCAGCTTTTTATTCGAATAATATAACAAGGACCTGTGATCTCACTGAAAGGTAAAGTGACAGTAAGTGATTACTAAACCTTTATTGCAAACCCGGTTCATACTATTATGAGCATTTTATCCATAAAAGTAGCTGATCTGTTTCAAGAATACAATACATCAAGTCATACTGCTGAAACTGGTTCGGAAAAAAATGAGAAAGTGTTTAAGCTTTTAACTTGGCCACTACAGTCACAAATCTTGAATATTATCGAGTCACATGCTCAGTTCTTGAAACCAGTCTTTGAATTAGATTCACACTACCAACATTACTTCAATAATTCTATATGCCCTGATGGTCAAAAATATTGTTGACTGATGCACAACATTTTATTCTATCAATTTCACGTCATATTAATACTGTATTATTTGCCCACTGAGAACCGACTACATAGTAAAATGTAGAAATTAACATGCGCTTTGATTATTTTGTCTAAGGTGTGTATCAAACCCTCAAGTAACCTAAGTGTATTTTTACTGTTCACTACAGTTAGTGGTGGTGAACTAATGGTGAAGAGTTCACATATTGCACCATATTTAGTAATTTTATGTTAAAGATTGGGTTAAATAGTTTATTTTCTACACAGGTTGAAGAATTTTTTCTAAATCTTTTCATATAAAATTTATAAGCACCACAGTAATAATGATTGGGATTAATTGAAATAGTATGTTATTTTAGTTTACGTTTTTTTATGAGTCGTGTATTAATAAGGAACGAGTACCTAACACATTCATGGATCTAAAAGCAATTTGGTGATTAACAAGTATGGGGTAATATGTTTAAAAAAAATATGGATTCTTATAGACCTCCATCAGTAATTCTAGGGTTACATGTGTTCAATGATTCTGATGTTAATCAGTTTAGGCTATGTTCATATGAAGTAATTTTTATTTATTTGTTTAGGAAAAACTATACAAATGGGGTATCTGTGCTGTTTCCAGCAATATTATGTAATGTTATAATCCCCATTACATGGGTCTCTCACAGGTTAGACGGTTAGGACCCATTAACGGGAGGTTCAAATAATATTGAACTATGGGAGTGTGTGACTGATGTCTGTCTCACTGATGTCTAACTGAAGTTTTTGAGAAGAAAGGGTCAAAGCCAAAGGTTTTCTATTCCGCATTGCGATGATTGAAAAATAACACAATTTTATTTCGCATGCTTAAGTTGAAAAATAATATTGTTACGACAGCGGAAGTCACGTGACGCTGGTAACACGTAATGAGTTCTAGGAAGATCGGGGAACATCACGAATAATCCAGTATTTGCTAGGCGCCCTCTATTCTTGTATATAAGTGCGCCTGACAATGAATAGATATAAATAATTGCAGACAAACAGAGACGGACAATTGAGTCAAGCGCGGTAATAGAGTGAGTGAATCGTTGTGAATTATAGCGTGTGTTTAAGATAAAGTGACTGTGTAAATTAAGTGTATTGCAAAGTTGTATTGAGAGGGAATAAACTAGTTTTATTTAAGAAAGGACTTGTGTCGCTGAAATTTCATCGGAAATAAATTATACGGAAAATTAACAAACGAACAGAGACGTAACAATATTTAAGATCCAACACACTGTAATTTAATATACACCAGACAGGCAACAATGCTAGCATTATATTATTATTAAAATAAAAAGCTATGAAAATTATTATGGGCCTATTGACAGTAAAAAACTTTAAAATTTCTTTGATATTCAGCTCACTTAATATAAACTAACAAGTAATATTACTAATTTTCTTAGTAAAAGTAATGAAATTTTTAGGGCCTGATAATAATAAGACATAAATTTCAGTCCATCTCTTAGCTTTATTTTTCAAACTAGAAGTTATCCGAAACTAATGGTAGAAAAATATGCTACACACATACGTATTTGCTTTTGTTTACTTCTTCTGTACATGTTGCTGAGTAACCAAGATGACGGAAACAAAAATGTCATGACAAGTTGTTTTTAATACACATTTGTTTTTGATTAAAAAAATAACTTCGAGCATGAGTATTAGGCCTATTTGGTAGGCAGTCAGCAAGTAATTGTCAAAGGTCATACAATTAAAAAGATAAAAGTATTGTTTATTATACATATAATTTATTTTATCTTATAGTTATATGGAAGAAATTTCATCTCATATTGCTACTGCTAGGCTGAATAGGTCTTATTGTTACTGTTAGCGATTTTATGTCTCGCCTGACATAGAAATGTTAATCTTAAGTTTAATCTTGTAAATAAGCACTGTAAACCTGTTATTTATCGTTGGGTTAAGCGTTCGCATTAAAACTGCTTGCCTAAAATCAAGTTTGGCAGATCAAGAAAATACTTGTAATTAGATAAAGTTTTAACTTTAACAGTTTACAATCATATACGTTAACAATAACACTATGTGGTGATCTACATTTAAATGATTCATGGAAGTGGATATGCTGAGAAAAGAAGAACCCGTACCCATTTGGACAGTTAGTGGATTTGGTGTGCAGTCAAAACAGAATCATACTATGGTGAGAAGCTGCTTAAAACATTGTAAAAATATTTCTCCAAAGTTTGGTTGCCATCTGACTGGATCTGGTATCAGTTAACCATTTTTATATAGTTACTTAATTTTTCCACAGATGAAAATACTGTAAATTATCCTATAGCACTACATTAAGTTGAACTTATGTAAATGACAAATATTTTAATTTTTCCCAATCAGAACTATTTTAATTAGCTTTTTTGCCAAAGTTTTAAAAGTAAAATTACCAGCTGACTATTTTTATTTGTGTAAAAAGTATGTTTAAAACAATTTATCTGTAGAAATCCAGGTTCATTAGTTAGTATTTATAGATAGGTATATATTGCTAAGACAGTAATCTCTAATGAATTTTGCAATTAACTCCCAATCACTTTTCTATAGATTTAAAATTTGTAGTACAAACTGGAATGTTTTACTTGCCTCATCTGATGAGTAAACGTTTTTATGTCTCAAGCAATTAAAATCCGTTAAACATACCAGTCAGTTAAGAAAGATGTATTGACTTTTCACAAGGATTCTAATTACTTTGCAAAACTAGACCAAACGTAAATTAAAATTTATTTTTTAAATGCAAATATGAAATCAATATTTTATAATAAGTGGTGAATAATGTAGTAAAAAAAGTTATTTTTTTAGTGTTGATAATGTAGTCTGTTAAATTTCATATTTATCTTTCATAATTGCTCTAGGTTTCAAAGCCACCACGAGCTGGAGCTTTTATAGAACGATTTACAAAACCAACATCATTTCGGAAATTTTATGAAAGAGGTGATTTCCCAATAGCTCTAGAGCATGATACCAAAGGAAATAAAATAGCATGGAAGGTATTTAGTGTAACTTTATGTTGTATCTAAACAGGTTTACTCCACAGAGAAATATTTTTCTTTATATAAAGCTGAGATGGGAATTATGAAAATATAAAAGCTTTAACATAATATATATAATTTTTTAGATAACTGTTCTTACTTAAAGTTTTGTTACTAATGTGTTGCACTATTTTTGTTAAAGCATTTAAACACAGAAAGGTAGGCCATACCGGTGCTATTCCATCAATCCATTATTTTGCCTATTTGTGTGGATTAGACAAATTTTAGAAAATGCAACTTATCAGTAATCTTTATGATATAACATAGCATATAACATTAAAGTAAAAAAGGGATCTGTTAGACCATCAAGGTTGTCCCATACACTAAACTAAACTATACTTAAAGCCAGCCCTTACTAGTTAAATTTTTATTAAGCCTTCCCTTAAATTTGCTGCTGTCACCACATTTCAAGGTAATAATTCCAAAGGTCAAACACCCTGTTAGAAACATAATACTGTCTTATCTGAAGATGACTACTGTATTGCCAATATTTATTATATTATTCTCACCATTAAGTATGAAAAAAATATGATTCATCAACAGTATCAATTCCCTTAACAATCTTAAACACCTCAATCAGATCCCTCTTGCTCTTTTTTTAGTTACAACATAGCGGTTCATAGCTCCATCTCTTGACTGATTTGAGATCTAATTACAGCCATTGCTGTTGAGGATTCCCTTTTGTTTGTTTTTTCAACACAAAACAATTTCACAGATCTTAACCTTTCTAGGAATCATCTTGGTAGCCCTCCTATGAACCCTTTCCAACAATTTAATGCCCTTCTTAAGGTGAGGAACCCAAGACTGAACAAAACAATCTAAATGAGGCCTAATCAGTGACCTATATATTGAAATTATACCCTCTTAAACTTATATTCAGTATTTCTATACATACAACCTAAAATCCTTTTTTCCCTAGCACTAGTAACAGCACACTGCTTAGATGCTTGAGAGATAGATCAAAGAAAATAGCAAGGTCCTTTTCTTCCACATCATTGGTCAGATTATTCCCAACAAAATTATATCTATAATTTAAGTTATGATAACCCACACATGAACTATCTTGCATTTATTATAATTAAAAGCCATCTGCTTTTTATTCAACCAACTCACCAAGTAATCTAAATTATTTTGTAAAGCAATAACACTTTCATCAAGCCATCCAAAGCCAATACCTTAATATCATCAACAAATTTAAGCAACATATTTACTATTCCTTCATCTATTATTGATATAAGTCAAAAAGAGCAAAGGTTCTAAAACTGAGCCCTGAAGTCTCTCACTTGTATCATTAATCCAGTGTGACTGAACTCCATTTATAACAACCCTCTGCTTTTTTCCATCTGGCAGTTTTCTATCCAGTGTGTCAACTTATCCCTCACACCTATGGAGATTATTTTTTAACACACATTTTATATGACACTTTGTCATATGCCTTCTTAAAATTCAGATACACCAAATCCACACCCTTATCCTCATTGATGTAAACAGTTACCCCCTTAAATGTCAAAAGATCAGTAAGGCAAGATTTTCCACTAGTGAAACCATGCTGACTATCCATCAAAATTTTAAATTTTGTTAAATACAATGCATCTTTTATCAGACTTTCAACAACTTTTCCCACTACTGGTGTAAGGCTAATAGGTTTGTAATTACTTGTACAAGTTTTCACACTTCCCTGGAAAGGAGGAGTAACATTAGCCAACTTACAATCTTTGGGCACCTGCCCACTATTCAAGGACTAAATATTTATCTCATGGTTCAAATGTCTAATCCTTAACCTCCTTGAAAATCTTTGGAGAAATGTTATTTGGCTAATGAGCCTTATCATCTTTTAAACTTCCCAATTTTTTAAAACAATATGATCGTCTCGTTCAATCTTGTTTACACTGCTCAGGATGAGGAATATTGCTTGAATCTTCATTAGTAAAAGTTTTAAAAAGTTGTGTTTAGTAACTACCAGCCATATCATAATCATCCAAAATGAGCTTTCCTTTATCTTGCGTAAAAGGCCTTACTACTATCCTAACAATTTGCTTACTTTTAAAGAACTTCTTAGTATTCATTTTTAGATATTCAGTCAACTTCTATGTATTTTCATGTTTTCTTTTCGATTGCCTAATATCTTGTTTGATCAACTTTCTTGATCTTTTATAATCCTCTAAGTTTCCTACCATAGCAGTCAATTTAAATGTCTTAAAATTTAAAAGTAATTTTTTTCCTTGTACTTTTTGTGAGCCAACCTAGTCTTTTACTTGCATTGCCATTTTTTTATCTATAAGGAACATGTCCTATTTAAAATTATATTTTTAAAGATTTTCAACATTTGATCAGCATCTCCAATTAATTCAGTTGTTCAAGTCACAATAGATAATTCTTGTTGCATCCTTTCAAAAGTTTTTTTTTGCAACATGTAACTAACATCATTTTACTTTTACTTTTGATCATTATATACAATAAAACATCAAACCTTATTAAGCAATGATCACTTGTACTCAGAAGCTCCCCAATCTTTACACTCTCAATCATTTCTGTATAGGAAGCTTACTATAACTGTAAAATAGCATTGCTCCTAGTAGGTTTTTCTATCAGTTAGTGAAAAAACTGTCCTGAACAGTTTCTACAAACCTCATGGTTAGATTGTAACATTTTCTAATGTATATGCTTGAATTTCCAATAACCAATAATTATGACTTCATTAATAGCTGAAATATTAATCTCACTGTAAATTTTCAAATTAACAAATTTTCACTTAAAGCCTTCTCCTATATCTGCTAACAGAAACTCAAATAGATTCAATCTCCTTGTTATTATCTTTGATATCTACAACTTCAACAGGACATAACTCACATTTTACATATAAAAGTCACTGTTCCCCTCTCCTTATTACATAATCTATGACCCTGTATTTCAAAGAAATTTCTGTTTTCAAAATTGTTTACATTTAATGAAGTTTAAGTTATTCCCATTATATCAATATCCTTCATTCTGACTAATACTCTAAAATGATCTATTTACTGTGGTAACAATTTAACCTATCCTTAAAACTGATTATGTACTTTGTTTGTACACTATGCTTTTTGTCCATTTTTTTTCTTTCTGTATTTTGTTTATTGTGGCACAAACCAATATCTAGCTCTGTATTAAAGCTGTCCTTACAGCTGAGTTAGTGACCCTTGCAAACAAACCTATCCCTACCCTATTTAAGTGTAAATCACCTATTACAAAAAACTTTCTATCTTTCCTATCAGACTTATTTCACAAGTCCAACTAGCCAATCTGCTTGTCTTTACATATGTAGTATGTATATGAATATAGTATACATTTCTGACTTCTCTGATATTAATGTATTTATTTTGAATTTATTCTTTATTCTGTATATGTGCAGATTTCACATGACACATGGTTGAGAACATTATTAAGTTGATTTGTTCCTTTATTGTTCTAAAAGTGAATAATACTTTTTCACCTGGGAAGAATATTGTGCAATACAACATATTGTGTAAGAAAGGTGATAGCAGTGTCCTTCAGTGGTTATTCAGGTAATATCTAGAGATTGCAACCCCATCTATTTTGAAATGAGAATGACCAGTCAGGTGGACAGTGCTGATTGCCCTGGATAAATGTGAGTTGTTTGCATGCTGAAGAACATTACATTTGGTCAGTATATTTTGGAATATCATTTCAATTGGTCTAGTCAGGATGAGAGAAAGAGCTAACCACTGAAAGTATCCAGTCAGAGTGACTGTTCATCATGTTTATGCAAGCAAGTATATACAGTGTATTTGTTTCTAAGACTATACGCTCAGTCTCATTGTTTTTTTGTTACAACCACTCAGTTAATAAGAGATCTGGTATTAGTTCATAATGATGTCTTGAGTAATTCTCCTGTTAACTAGCAGAACTATATGATATAATTCTAAAGTGGATTGGTAGGAGAAATTTTCACATATATTAACATTAGCCTAGCATTCAGCCCTTATGACTCATTTATAATCTTAATCAAGTTTAGGAGTATCCCTGACATAATTAAGGTATGACCATTTTATTTAAATGCTTTATAAACCTCCTGTATTTATCAATTATTTTCTATGAACTAAATCAGTCATTAGCCATTATATGCACAACAAAGACTGCATCACTGCTAGCACTCATTATTGTCTTACCTGCTCGATCAGATATGTTCCTCAACTGTGCTCCTGTTTACCCCACAACTTATTCTATCCACATGCCATAGCAAAAAATCACTTATAACTATAACTTTCTTAAACATTGTATTACTATCATTATCTTTCTCTTGTGTTCATGTTATTCACAGTTCCTCATTAGCACAAGCTAAATGTTAAAACCTTTTATTTAATACTATGTTGTAATGAGAATTACTTAGAACCCTGATACTATTTCTTTCTGAAAGTCATTTTTAGATACTGTACCATTGCATACAAAAGCTTAAGTTCCTTTTTTAAATCCTTCTGTCATTTCCTAAAGTTTATATTTCTCCTTCTCTTCACTATTTGGATAGTTTCCAATTTCTCCTCTAACCTGTTGCACATTTTCACTACTAGCTTTTTTAATACATGCCAGTCCCAAATTCTCAAATAAGACCCACCCTTTGCACCTTTTGCATACTACAAACTGTGAGCCCTTCACAACTACTCCACTCTTAACCATTGCTGTCTGGGAATGAATAATCAAAACTGTTAATACTATAAATACAAGTAACTTATTAACAACACTGTTAAGCTTAACATTTGAAAATTAAACATGTTACACAATTTTATCATTACTTTAAATTTACAGTAAAGTAATTAAGTTGATCCTTAAAATATAAAAGTGACAAATAAATAGTCTTTAGATAATATTTATGTAGTAATAGAATTTAGTTAGCTTATCTTATATCTTACCGATAAGCCGAATGGATGGATAGGTTATTATCTGTTTGTTGTATGACAGATACAGTTATATTGTTGCATTGTTGTTCTTTTATTAGCAGATTCTTTTAACTTAAGTGGTTAAAGCAGTTCAAAGTCTAGTCTAGTCCATGTAAGACTAACAAATTATTTCCTCCTTTAAGTTTATGTACAGGTTTGTACACTTTGTAACTTGTTCTAGGCCTACATTTACAGTTATGCTATCTCCATGATACTAACATAAAAGTCACCTTACTTGTACAACTCCACAGCTAATTGTTCAAGTAATTGAAAACAAAACTCTGACAAAAACATTATGTGATTGATTCATTTTATCTATGCTTCACTGGTTCAGTCTGCAAGCTTATTTAGCCAATTAATGAATGAGAGGTTCTGAGAAATACCTAAAACAAGAATTAGATTATAAATAAGGGTGACAGAGCCACTCATTCATTAATATTCTCAAGTATTCTAGGACTAATGTGATTTTAATTGAATGCACTCTCTAGCTAACAACTAAATTACAACAGAAAATATTGTTACGCCTCTGGTCGTTAGTTATTTTTCCGTAAAAATTCTTTCCGAAGAAACTTTAGCGATACAAGTCCTTTGTTAAATAAAACTGGTTTATTCTTTATGAATACAACTTTGCAATACACTTAATTTCCACAGTCACGCTATAACAAACGCTATAATTCACAACGAATGACAAACGCGCTCGACCCAATAGTACGTCTCTATCTCTGTCTGCAGTTCAATTACATTGTTGCCATCACTTCTTGGCTGTCTTATATACAAGAATACCGTACATCTAGTAAACACTCGAGGCTTCAGGAACCTTTGAGAATATGACTTGTTACTAGCGTCACGTGACCCCCGCTGTCGTAACAATATATAGCTTATAACAATATCATCATTATTTCCTTATATGAATAGATATGAAAGAGAGAGTTTTTTGGTATATTACATTTCCTTTTTTAGGTTGAGATAGAGAAGTTAGACTACCATCATTATCTTCCACTGTTTTTCGATGGCCTGTGTGAGACAATACACCCCTATGATTTCTTTGCCCGGCAAGGTGTTCATGATATGTTAGAACATGGTGGCTCAAAGATTTTACCTGTTATACCACAACTTATTATTCCTATTAAAAGTAAGTTCAGTGTTCCATCATATATGATACTACAAGTTTTCGATTTACTAAGTGTTCAAAATTGATATTGAGAGTACCTTATCTTAGAGGATCACATCTGCTATTTAATATATGCAATATATTTTGTTTTTTCAGTTTGTACACATAGATTTAACCTTATGTATAACCTTTTAGAAAACACATCCATACGTAAACTATTTCAAAATAACTGAACTTGATTATTCTCTCAATTTGCTATAACTATCATTTAAGGCTCTCAATAAAGTTGCATAAATGTAATTGATATATGATGAATTCTGAATTCGTTAATGAACTTCCAAAAGTTAAAATTATTATTGCAGATAAGACTATTAGGATTAACCTATATATGTGTCCAATAATCAAACTAGATTTTAAAATTTATAAGTGTATGTTTGCACTTTTTATTTTTACTTGTAAGTTTTATTGTTACAAATAATCATTTAAAATTATTTCAGTATCATGACATTACTGTAACGCAAACTCGTTAACTTATAAACTTAGAAATAGTCAAATAAAATGTCAGTGAAGAGTAGCAATAAGTATGATTTTAAGCTCATAATGTGGAATTAACATACAAATTAATGATTTTCAGGCCTTTCTTTTGTTAGAATATTTATTATTGGCAAAATTTTGATTCCTGTGCTAGTACCTTCAACGAGCCGTATAACACTTTTAGGAACATAGCAACAGAACAAACAAAATATACAATCTGTTGTTAAAAAACAAGAACACCTATTTAAGTTTAAAATTACACATGAAAATACAACATAGAAATATGTATTAAAGTAAATATATTGATAATTTAAACAAATACAATTGAATGATTGCTTTTCAATTAATTTAAAATAATGGGTTTATTGCTATCAGTATTTGTATTTTTGAGATCATGTTATTCCAAGCACTTTTAAGTGAAAGTTGACCATGGTTTTAAGTTAGTCTTGAATTTTGAGTTGAAATCAATGAATAAATGAAATTTATACAATAAACTTAAATAGAAATACTAAAGTCTTTAAAAATTTTACTATTAGAAAATAAAGAAATTCTAATAAGAAATTCTTGAAGCAAAAGATGAAATTGATTGGAAATAAAATAAAATGTGATACTTACTTTGTAATTATATTTCTAAATTTCTGTGATTCAATCTCATTTTCGTTAAATACTTTGAACACTCAAAATCACAAGGTGGTGTATGTCACATTTAAATATTCTGCAGCATCTAGTGAGATCTGTAGAATTGTTGTAGTTCTATGAATCAGAATTATGATTTTTGTAACCAATCAATTGATAGCCTATATAATGTTGTATTTACATTTTATTGTATTTTCAACCACTTTAATCTTTTGCTTTAGGTATATCTTATTTGACTTCTTTTATATTCTGAGACTATACTTTCTAAAAGTTTTTTTAGTCTTAAAAGTAGTCTGTTTACAAGTTTTGAGTGAATTCCTTTCAGTCTTTTGCCTTCCATATTTTTCCTTTGTTACAATAACTTTTGTTATTATATTTCTTATTTTCTATGGTTTCTTTCTGTCTGTTTAGATGCTTTGAACACTCGAAACCCCAAGGTGGTGTGTGATACACTAAAGATCTTGCAACATCTAGTGAGATCTGCAGAATTGGTGGGGCAGGCTTTGGTTCCTTATTATAGGCAGATCCTTCCAATCCTTAATATATTCAAACATAAAAATTGTAGGTATTAAGCAATTTATTACTGTTTTCTGTAAAAGCCAAATTTATCATTTTTATGACTGTATCTTTCCTTAACTAAAATTATGGTTGTATAACACATGCAGTAAACAAACATTTTAATTATCTATGTGCTTTGTTATTTCAAAATATGTCATTTGTGTAAGGTAAAGATAACAACTCAAAAGAGTTCCCATTATTCAGATACATTATTGTGGATTAACTATGAAAATATCTACAGTTTGTAACCCATAACAATTTTTACCCCAAGAGTAACTTGTTTTTAAGTATTATTTGTTATAATGCAAAAGCTATAGCAGAAATGTGTATATCCAAAGGTAAGTCCAGAACATTGTAAGGATATTCCATCATATCTTTAATCCATTTTCTATTCAACAAACAAGTGTGTAGACAGATTCATCAATAATTTACCAAAAAACTAAAAAATGTTAGCATAGGAAATCAAAAGCTATTGTATTTAATGGTATAATAGGACCAGTTTTATGTGTTAATCAATTTTACAATGTTTATTTGAAATTTAGCAAATCACATTACTCATTTAATATGTCAGTATGTTAAAGAAAACAAATTTCAGCTGCCTTCAAAAGTTATTATTTTCCTCTATATAGTAAATACAGGTGATGGGATAGATTACAGCCAACAGAAGAGAGAAAACATAGGAGATCTCATTCAAGAAACTCTAGAAGCCTTTGAGATGACTGGAGGAGAGCATGCATTTATAAATATAAAATACATGATTCCTACATATGAATCATGTCTTCATAACTAGCTGAGTTTCAAGATTATGTACAAGTTTCAAATTTATATTAGAAAAAATAATTCCTAAATCTTACATGTTACAAAATAATCATTCTTTCATTTGATATGTTGAAGTACTTGTATATTTTATGTATATGTTCAACTGTTTTTGTTTTGTTTTTTAATTAAAGATTATAATGTTAGTTGAAAAGTAGTTAATTAAGATATGTACATTTACAACCTGGCATTTGTAATTTACTTTCTATACTACTTAAAGAAAAAATTCTGTTTTGCATATTCTTATAAAAGATTTTAGAAATTGAGCTACATTTGATTTACATGAAAAGCTTTAGACATTTTGAAATGAAATACTGTTTGTTTCCGTAATTTTTATTTTAATAAAATTTCTTTAGTTATATTTTGAAAAACATTGTATTTCCATATTGTTTAAATCAAAACTTTTTAGTTATTTGTTGAAAAACGTTTTATTTCTGTGTATAGTTTTTCAGATACACTGATTTTCAACAGAAAAGTATCAAATATTTTCAATATACACAACATAAGCTATAACAAAGAAAAGAAACAAATTCAAATTAATAAAAACAAGATCTTATTGCTGGAACTTTATTAAAGGCTGCACTTGTATGCCTTTTAGAAAAGTTGAAAGCACATTTAACATCAGAGTTAGACAACATCAAGAAGTCCATAGTGCAACATTGCACAATCCTAGATTACCAATGTAAATTATCATTCCAACTATACATTCAAAGGAGATAAACTCCAACTTGTAGTAACTGTAGAAACTTCTATATGACTCCTACAAGTAAGTACAATCTCACTCCAGGAGGACATGATGCATGACATAGAAACAGGATCAAGCAAGTATAAGCCTTTATAGAGTGATCATTTTCATATGTAACCTGGGTATACGCTAAAGGATAAATTCAAATTTACCAGAATATATTTCATTAATGATATGTTCTTACTAGTTATGGAAGGATGAAGCATAGCCATTCTTTCAACAGTTACAACATTCCTATTTCTTATCTTAGCACCTTCCTATGTCTGAACCTTGAAATTAAATGATATAAGACTGAAATGCAAGTTTAACATACTGGGCTATGGGTTTTTTAATTCACTTCCTTAAACTACATGTACAATTCCATATGAGTTAAACATACATGACAAAGGCTAACTTTATTCAGCTTTTTAAAACCCCATCAGCAAATTAAACTAAACAAAATAAAATAAGCGGATTACACAACTGAATAGAATATTAAATCAATCAACAAAAATATAAAACATAGGCCATGTGCAAAATTATAATTACTACATTTTAAATAAAATCACAATAGAATCATCAAATAAGTAATTGATACATTATAAAGTAACAAAACAATACATAAAGCTAATATGGAATGAGTAACTGTTTGAAACCAATTAAAATACAAAGTTCAATAAAACACATTATAAATTGATTTATCTTCTTAAAATAGGCTGCCCAGTAACATAGCAGCATGTCTGCAGACTTACAAGAGTAGAAACCAGGTTTCTAGATTCTCACTGTCCCTATCTACTATCTAGCGAAACCACAGCCAAGGGAATGGGCTTGGAAAAAGTTAATATAGATCAAAATGTAATAATTCTTAATGAATAAAACTGAAAAAATCACAGACTAATGAAATTGACCAATTGCTTATTTAAATATAAACTATGAAAGGAAAAACTGCACAAAACTAGATCGAACAGAGTATTAAATAAACTGTAATATAAAACACAACCCAGCATTAAAACAATTACAAAGCAAGAGGAAAACAGAATTACCAAAGAATCATAAAATTGTAAAGTTAAAGAAAAAAATACAAAATGAATTTAACAACAAAAAAAAAAAAGGTGCAGAATTAACAAAATTTAATCAGCTAGATAACGTAGAGTATAATTTGGATTCAAGGTAAAACAAACGATAGAAATTAGTTCAGGATAATGAAATGGAGATACTCAGGTAACTAAGGTTTACATAAAATAAAGTAATCGTAGTTGATAAACATAAGCCAACTGGAAACAAAAGTGATTAGGTTCTATAAACTAAAATGGGTGATACCAAACAAGTAACTGGAAAAATTGTAAGCAGTTATAGAATATCGTCATAAAACTAAAAGTAGTAACATAAATTTAAAGTACATAGTTTCAAAGGTCACAAGAAGGTATAAAATTAGAATAAACTTTTTTCAAAGTAAAACACGATAAACATTATTCTTCTAAAGAGACGAAAAAATGCTTTTTGTTTTAATGTCATTGGCATTTTCAAATAAGACATTGTTCTTCTGTGTTAAATTAATACTGGCACTTGTCTGCCTTCCTTGGCCTAATCGACAACTTGTACGTTACAATTTACAACACTACTGCCATCAGTTGATCTCTGAAAGCTCTAAGTCCTGAGAAAAGGGCACAGAGGCTATCATTAGTATGGATCTGTCAGGTATAGTGATCCAAAGACTGAAGTGTGTTTAGGTGGCTCCCACAGTGGTAGACTGGTAGGTAGTAGTTCATCTGGGACTCAAAGGAAAGAATGGGAATTTTTCTTCGTTCAAGCATTCTAGAGTCTCAAAAATGCCATTATCGGATTTGAAGTCTTCTGATGAGTTTGTAGATGTTTGATTCAGACATGGAACATTGTTCTATAGAGCAGCAATAGGTCTTGGGCTGCCTTCACCCATTTTGGTGGGACCTCTGTAACAGTGTTTGTTGCTGTAGTGGCTTTGGCTTAGGTGACGCAGCACTACTTTCTAACATAGTGATTGCTGTTAACACTGACGAAACACTTACTTCGTCCAAAAAGGTCGTGATCAGATTATTGGCTTTTCAGCCAGCTTAATATGCAATGGGCTTATTTTACTCACTCTTAGGTAAAAGTTATTTCCCCAAGAATGCATAACACAGGTTCACAGAATATGAAAATATTCAGTATAAAGTAATTCTGATTTCTGTAAACGTGATTGAGTTCATGAAAGAAAAAGACTGGACACAAATGTGCAATATACTATGGAAACAATCTTTGTTTTGCACAAACAACAGTGTTTGCATTTAGCACAATTGGCAACTGCTTGTACTGGAATGTGCAATTTACTAGAATTTGTTACAGACTATCTTTTCTTCAAGCTTATATATGTTATTTCAGACTGATGAAAACCATTTATGTACTTAAATCCACAATGTCTTACTTTCCCAGGGTGACTTGCAAAACCTATGACTCTGATCATTCCAATTATAAAATAACTTCAATACGTCACCTGACTTACCAGAGGTAACCACCATCTACATTTATGGTTAACCTTACAGTCATCTTTCTCGAGAAAAGACAAGATGTTACTGTAGGTGAATGACAGAACAATAAGTGGCTAGAAAAACACACATATTTGCCTGTAATTCTTTGAAAAATTCTAAATTAATAGAAGGACTTACCAAACACATATGCTAATATACTACCTTTCTCCTCCTCTTTATTTTCAGGCTATCTCTCTGTACCTAATCATGAAGTTTAAATTCAATCAAATTTATTCATGTATTGGTTACGATATTTGCGTAACCTTCTTTCGCCCTGTAAAAACATTTACATGCAACACAGACAAAACAACCTTTTAACAAATTTTACAACACAGACAAAATGTCTTTTAACATAAATACAAACTTAAGAAACACTATATAGTGTATGACAAATTCCATTTAACATGGAATATTGAGCATATCTATAGCAGAAATACAAAAAAAAAAACAATGAATACAAGTTAACTCCTTTTAGCAATAAATGAAATTTGACAAGGTTCATGGAAAGAAGAACTCTTTAACACAGATAGAATTTAACAATATATTTCAACAATAATTGAAAACATAATACAATACGACCATTTAACAACGATATAATATAGAATAATGACACATGAACATAACGCAAATAAGAAATTAGTGAAAACCAAAGTAAATGGAACAAACTGTCAGAAGTCTGATATTAGAGAAATTAGTTTCGACACATTCGTGTGGCCTCTTCAGTCTCACGTTGTCTTCAAATAAGAAAAAACGTAAATACAATCTTAGTATATAAAACTATTTGCAAAGTAGAGAAACACATATAAAAATAACTCATCATGATGCATATTAAAGAATTAAATTACATAATAAACCCTTTAAACATGGAAATGAAATAAAGCACAGATAAAAGTTTAAAAATGAAAAGTATACCTATAATCTGCAAAATTTATATAGAAGTAGTGTGGAACACCAGTCTTCTTCGCTTGTTTACATAATCTAGATTTATGTCAACTTTGCAGCAACCTCTGGAGAGTGAATATTTAGCAGATGGATCTGCTGCTAGGTTTGTTGGTAATAGTGGTAGGAAAGATCATTAGCAGGTCGATCCTTATATGACATTATAGCTATTCCCAAAACCTCTTGTATGGCTGTTTCTTTACCACTGCTGAGGTTTATAGGCCCTTCACTTTGCCTTGATTGGGATTCTAGTACACAACGGTATTACTTGATTAGCTGTCATTGTAGAAGCCCTCTTTATTGATTGGAATCTCTCTTGCCATTGATACTGGTGGCATGGTCACATCAGCCAATATGACTGCAATGGCTGGGACAAGCTGTTTTGTCATTATTTCTTTGGCAGATGATTTGGTTGGTCTGGGAACTCTTCTCACAAAGACTCTTCCAGAGTTTGATCGACCCTTGAGAGGGTCTACTCTCTCAAACATCCACCTCCCTTCAGTGATCTACTTTTCCTCTTGGACATAAATCCTTCTACTTGTGGAAAATATAATTTCCTCAAAAAAGAAGCCATTATGGAATTAATAATACAGTGTCCGAAGTAAAGGGTGATACATATATCAGAATAAAACACAAACCTCTGCAATACTACATCCTATGGTCACAATGCCAACACTTTCCCCTTCCTACTTACTCTACTACATTCTCAGGTAAATCAGATTTTTCCTAAGAGTGCATAAGATAGGTCCACAGAATAATGGGAGATTCAAACAAGATATTTACTACAAAGTAATTCTGAATTCTCTGAACCCGGTTGAGCTTGTGAGATAAAAGGTCTGGACACAAATGCAAAATAAACAGTCTTTATATATATAGCATAAACAATTATGCATGTATTTAGCATAATAAACAGTTGCTTTTTACTGAAGAGTTCAATCTAATATAGTTTGTTACAAGACTATCTTCTTCTTAAGATTGCATATGTTATTACAGACTGAGAAAAACATTTATATACTTAAAACTATAATGTGATACTTTCCCCAGGTGACCTGCATTACCTAAATGACCATTGGTCATTCCCATTAGAAAATATGGAAGATTATAGCCTCAAGACATCATCTGATCTGAAAAATATTACTATCTAAACCTACACAATATGGTTAGCCTTACAGTCATCTTTCCATGGTGTTATTTTAGATGAATGACATAGAACAATAG